AGACGTCGATTTTTACGCTCTGAATTTTCGATGTTATTTTATACGGCGTTTGTGCTTATTGCACAAAGCTCAATCATAATTAATGTAGATTTAATAAAAAAAAAAAAAGAAGACATATCGCTGGCACGTTTCTGCTTGCTCGACTCTTTTTTTCTATATCCATTTTAACAAAATTTATCTCGTTATATTTAATTAGCTTTGGATTTATAATGATTAAATTATTAAACTGATAAGCGCAGCAGAAAACTGGCAAGCTTTGGCACTGTACCTTCAATTACCGCTCCCAAGTATAGATTCCGAACCAACCTCCGCGCAAGCTCCACGAGCTTTTATCGTGGCATTGGCTCGAAAAAGCTTCCTGAGCTAATTTCATTATGCTATACAGAAAAAAATACATCTTTTTCGAACTCCAACGCTTAGCGTGAGTGCTCGAAAATTAAAAAGTAAAAATTAAGAAAAACAAAAAAAATACCGAAAAGTACCGAACTAATTGATTGATGTACACACTCTTGCCTCGCCGGAGAGTGTATAATAAAGAATGCGCGCAAGCTCTCTGCGCTCGCGATGCCAAGATAAGGCAGGTTTCACGAAGGTTGCTCATCGATCAACTTTGAAGTCTCCATTGAAATATCGCTCGTGACATATTTTTTTCTCGCGCAGCTCATTAAAAAAAACGGGTGGGAGCAAAAAAATTCTGCATCATTGGTGTATATAGAGATTAATAAATAATAATGCCAATCGAGAGAGCTGGCAGCGGAAGATATCGTCTGAGCAAGGGAAAATCGTTATTCATTCGTCGAGAGCTCGTATATAATAATACAAGCTTTTTCCCAGACACTCTAATATACAACGTACATAATAATATATCAGTTAGCGAGCTAGCGGCAGTGATTTGTAACGTTTAATAAAGTACGACAAGTTGCTCATTAATGCGTATGTTTTTAATATAGCAAATGTATGTTTCTCCCCCGCTTCGTTTCATCGTGTACGTGTGTGTGTGTGTGTGTGTGCGGACCGTACGTCCGAGCACACTCTGTTCGCTACTACTACTGGGCAGCGGCGCGGGTTTCAAAGCGGAATATATAACTTAATTAGCGGGAAAATATTTTCGCGCGCAATGCAAATTATACGCGCGTGCGTATATCTTTAATCTGATTACGCTCGATATGAACCACTCTCGGGGCACTAGCAGCAGACAAGTCCGCGGGGGGGTCGCGCGCAATTTATGATAAAACCATTGCGCCATGATAGATTGCCTCGATGTATGTACGTACATTGTAATGTGCGTTACGCATGTGTGCGTGCGCGATAAAAGCAATGACCTACACTTGTCTTGCGGAAGATTAAACGATGGCTCTCCAAAACCTTTGTTATCGAATGTTACGTATGCACATGGATCTTAACGCTCATGTATCGATCGATACCCGCTATTCGCTATTCGCTCGGGCAACAACAAACGCGCGAATCAATCAAGTCCGGAGCTGACAATTTTTCGTATATACGGAAATTCAGCAGCACTCTTGTACCATATATAGATGGATAAACGTGTTACATCGAGGGTATCACGTGTGTTTTACGAGTCGAGGAAAGTATCTCTATTTCAAAATGACAATCGTGTTTAGCTTCTTATTTCATCGCGAGGAGAGCGGCACATGACAATAAGCTCGCAAATACCGATACAGTTTTCTCAACTTTTTTTCTCTGTCTTTCTCTCTTTTTTTTTTTTTTTTTTGCTATTGTGTGTACGTACGTGAGAGTTGCTTGGCCGATTTCTATTCCTCCAAGGGTTGTAGCCGTATACGTGAGACAGTAGACGCCGAGCGGATAATATTTCGAGAGGCATATCTGCCGCTGCTGCGACACGGGCAACACACAATACAGGCACGTTTTTGCACTTATTGACAATGACAAGAAGACAGCTCAAGCAAGCGAGCGCGCGGGTGTGTGTTCGTATGTGTGTTAAAGTACATATACACACCCGAGCGCGCTTTGAGCTGGACTTATCGCGACCGTCCGACGACTATCTCTACTGCTCTTCTGTTTGCTGGAAATGACGCTCCGGTGTGCCAAGTAGCCGTTTCATCGACTTTTCCCCCTTTAGATATACATATACTGTCCGATATATACCACTCGTACGCGTAAAAGTGTGCGCGAAAAAAAATGTGTATCTACTTATATCATACACACACACACACACACACCCACTCGTATAGAACTCGACATTTTGGGGGATTGGTCATTGGGTCGCGACATGTACTTGAGGCAGGGTGTGTAATAGAGATGGGTCGAGCACGCACGTGTATCCTTGCTTATTAAGTCCGAGGGGGGGCTTTTTCGATGGCATGGATTTTTTTGAAATGAGCTTAGTAGTCTGCGTTGAGCTCACGTAATTCTACTGGCCAAAAATTACTTCGTCTGTACTAATGAAAATTTCGCTGCGCGTGAGTGCTCTCAGATGTAATAGGGATTTTCACTGACTGAAGGAGACCTTGATTACTCTATCAGTTCTTTATACCTCCCCAAAATTCTCAAAGAAACTACGGGGGCAGATGCAAAATAGAAATGAGTTTTCCGCTTGAAATTACGAAAATTATTTCGATACCCGATGGTTCTTGTTTTTACTTTTTCTTGTATGATAGATGGATCACTAGTTTCTTCACGATAGAATAAAATGAACATTTTGAAAATCAATCAATTCTTTGACGCATGAGAAAATTTAAAAATAAAGATCGAAATATTTTATATTTCAAAATCTTTAAATCTTTGGTATTGCTTATTTTTGTGTAGTACGTGTAAATTATTGATAAACTATCATATGTTCACAATTTTGCTTGAGGTGATATAGTTGAAATATAGTCAGAGACCATACTGTAATAAATTCACATTTGAATTTTCAAGTATCATTTTGTGTACAGAGTAAATGTGGTAATGTACATGGTACATTATTATCTACTTATTTTTTTCAACACGCGAACCAAACGTTTTACAATTTTATGAGATTTTGAATCAATTAGAACTTACCATTCGGTCGATTAAAATTTATTACCAATAAACTATTATAGGAAAATATTTTCTAATCCTAATATCATTTAAATCGATAAAACTAATTTCACCAAAAGAAATTTTATGAATTAAAAATTATTGTAGTATTAAAAATTCTTATGTTGATGTAAGTAAAAAAGTGTAGTAAGTTTGATATTGTTAAACTCAATCATCTGCTACTGAGTAAAAAAGTGATAAAAAACTGCAAACTAAACATGCAAGTGCAATCAAGCCAAATGATTTTGATTAAAAATGTAAAATTGTACGATGCTATGAAAAGTTTAAAAAATTGAATAAGAAATAAAGCAAAAAATCGAACATGATAAGAGTAGAAATATCACGGGTCTGCGAAATGTTGCTGAATTATGTCATGAATTGAAATAGATGTTTTTGAAGTCTTTCAACGCTCCATGAAAAATTAAAAAGAAACGATATGTGAAGATGCAAAATTGATTTTTGTTGATTTACTACTATTTGTCTGAAAAAACTCGCGCAGTAAATTTTTGAAAATCGCCCAACAAGAATCATCTATTTGAATCAAGAGCGTTAAAAAACCTTCATTAACGTCCATTTCTGTTTTCGTGCGAAATTTCACAGACGCGTAGAGTTGTGAGGCTTGTTTTAAAATTCAGAAAACACACTCCATAAGTGAAAAGTTGAAAACAAAAAAAAAGCTTGGTTAGAAACGTGATACGAACCGCTGGCCGTTTTTTTGGCATTTTCTACGATCGCGTGCTCTCGGGGTAAGATGTGACATCCAGACTCGAAGCTGCAGCCATAAAGAAAATAATTGATTAAATGTATGATACGTTGCAATAAATGTTCATAATGAAGCGAAGCGCTGTATAATCATGATAAAATATAATTTAAAATGATAAAATCATCAATAAGAATAATAATAAGAATAATAATCATACAATGATAAAAAATTTAGCCATACATAAATGCAATTAGGGTGATTTACGCTTATCATTTTTTTATGATTTTGTATTATATGGGAGTTTGGTGAGAAATGTCATGATTAAAACACAGATTCTTATTTATCTGTGCTATTTTTATAAAATTAAATTGTTGCTTCGTTTACCATCCAAAAATTAAACCTTCAGCATACAGTAAGTGTAGCTTTGTTTAATACCTGTAAATATATTTACCTGGTAAAAATAAAATATTACTTATTTTAAAAGTATGCACAGTTTTTTCGAGCGTCATTATTTAAAAACAATAAAAAATCAAATAATATCGACATAAGGATATTTCAAATTTGAAATTTTGCAAAAATTGATCATCACATTGATTTATGAAAAACAACATTCAAAAGGTTCGAAACATCATTTTAATTGTTTCAATGAAGTACCATTAATATCACATTTTGTCATTTAAAAGGACTTCATTACACATCGAAAATATTTTTTCAAATTAAAATTCCAAGCATTTAAGGGCTATAACTCATCACCTTTTTAGATCGAAAAATAATTTAGATCTCTACGTGAAAAAACTAAGCAATAAGTAATGCCTAAGGTCTAATACCCGCCGACTATACTTGTCGTCAAGTTCCGACTCAGTCGAGCGAGCCCCATCATTTTTTTTGCAATCATCGTTTTCCTGCTTCTTCTTTTTTAGCCGCTTTTCTCCGTGCGGTGATTGCCCGCTGCAGCCCTGCGGTTTCTGGCACATTGATGGATGAATAGCCCAAAGATTATAATCGTATAACGATTAAGAAATTGCATCGTGTCACTTGAACGAGCGTCGCCACCTTTAACGTGATATATTACGGGTCTTCACCCCTATGCGAGGATATCATTTTTTTTGAGACTAAAGAAATTTTTTCCTATATCATATACTTAATCATTTTTGTTTTTAATATACGCATAAAACAAAGTGTAAGATGAAATTAAATTGAAAAAATAAAGTATTTATTGAGAGGATAGTCAATCCAGAGTAAAAATGAAAAATTTTGTTAAAGTTTAACGTATGTCTTTATTTTGTTGTTTTCTAAATTAGATCTTTCAAAATTGCTTAAATTAGCCTTATAATATATTTTTATATTATTAAATTACAAATGAAGTTAATCAATTTTTCTACATAAAATTATGTACCTAAATTTCTGTCCTACCATGAAATCAAAAAGTTTCATAAAAGTTTATTAAAGTTTTCATTATAACCATCGCATCTATTCTACTAACCTACAGATTAAGCTTACGTGAAGTTTCAATCTCTGAAAAAAGAATCGAGTGTTGGCTGTAATTCCTACAAGTTTCTGCTACTCGACGTGTTTGAGTTGAGATTATGTGAGTAGGCGTATCTTTTACTCGTTGAGAGCTCGATTTATCGAGTGCCAGTTACATATTTCGTTCATTCAGTAGCAGCTACTCGCTATGCACCGAGTATATACTACTCGTTAATAATAGCAGCTACCCATCAATCGTTGATTTTGCTGTCGAATAAAAAAAAATACTGCGTCGTTTCGTCTGCTCTGTATAATATAAGTCACGGTTGCTATATGCATCTAAAATCAGTCTTATACTGATCGCTAGTATCAACTCGAGGCGGATAAGTCTTATCAGCGTTGTAATGAGCTATAGATACAAATGACCGATTTACAGATGATCAGCTGTGTCTAATCGACAGAGGCACTGTAGTCAACTTAGATTAATGTATTATATTATCTTAATTACGAGATGACAAAGTATAGCAATTAAGTAAGAAGTACGCGCTATGAATTCAACAGCTTTACTATTCATCGTGGAAATTCCATCCAAGACAGCTATTACACGGCAACATTGAAAATGTGCAATTTTTTATTAATCTAAAATATTTATCTACAGATAAAACGGACCCGCTGAACGGACCCATAATCAGCTGATCGACCGCCATTTGTATCTACATCTCTATGACAACGCTGCTACTTATACAGCTCATGCGTATGTATACTATAAACTACGTCCTTAATTGTGCCTCACCTAATTTCTGTAAAATTATCCAGACATGTCAATTTTTTTCAATTTGTCTCTATGCATACATTCAAAACATCTTTCACATACATAACAGGTCAAGATGGCTGAGACCATTATGATCAAGACTGGAGGCCACAAGTAACTAGCGTATATTAAAATTGACATAAAGAAAATGAACATCACGGCAATGAACCAGTTACAAAACGCCCTCCCCTGAAAAAAGCAACAGTTAAAATAATTTTGAATGAAAAAACAAAATCAAAAATTACTTTGACCGTGAGCTCGAGAGAATTCACACTCGCTGCGGCAAGCATAGACTTACGCATTTTGTTTTAGTAATCGACAACTCCTCGTCCTCGTTGTCCTCGTTGACCTTGGCGGCCTCTACGTCGGCGGACGCTAATGTCGGAGCGGCCGGAGCGTCAGCCGGATTGATGCCGATCGCTTTGCCACCATTCGGTAACGCCAACTTCCACGCTTGGTATGCTGGATGCTTTTTACGGAACTCTTCATACTCTCGCACTAGTTTGTCGTGGTAGTCATCAATCTGATCTATAGTCTCGAAGTTCTCCATTTGTGATTGAATCTAAACTTGGTACCGAGTATGAGCTGCGTATTTGTTCGCTTGTTTCAAAGTACTCGTTGCTCTTGATGCTGTTGTCGTTGCTTGATGGAAAGCCAACGCGTAGATAGGTGAATAGAAAATCCCAAAAATCGGCTTAGCGGGAGTAAATTCTACATACTTTTGAACACACGCGAGTCGGTGTTGCGTGTGCCGCCTCGAGTCGCTGAGTCCACGAACACGGACTGTCTGTGTGTTACGGAAGGCTGTGAGTACTGCACTGACTCTAAGAAGAAAGTCTGCATATCTCATCTCCTGAATTTCATTCAGTACATTAAAATAATTTTGGAGAGCGCACCTTCTTTGAGAAGGGGAAATTTTATCTTATAATCGCTTCGAGTAAGGTAATCCTTGATAAATAGTCTATAGGCGATAAGGAGGTTCCATGTAGCGAATGATGTATTTCGATGTACTCTGTTGATCTGAATCCAAATCTTCAAATTACAAATCATTTAAGTAGTAGATCAATTGTTCATACCATTGTAAACTGTTGAAACTACATTAAAACAATTTTGTATCGTTTTATTCATCATTATAAAACGTAGCGATTGAATCTTCAAGTTATAGACCTATGAGCTTGTCAGAAGCTTGGATTGATAATTCTACGCAATGCTCACGATGCAATTAGTGTAGTGAATTATTAAAAACATAATGTCTCATTTGATGATAATTATGAGGTAACAATTTCTTTGATCAGTACAAGTATAGGTAGCGTTAATTAAAAAAAATTGCGGCAATCGTCATTCGTGGAATAAGTACGTAGATGTATACGAGACACGCAGTTGGGGAAAAAACTAGACAAATTTCATCAAACAAAAGCAGCAAATTAATAAGCAAATTGGATGAATACGGTCTCTTTGAGGCGTATTACATAGAATGCACCGCGGAGATTGTAGCCGCACCGAGTCTCGATTGTGGCTCGAGTAGGGAATAACTTTTTTCCCCCTCGCCGAAGTGTAACGCGTTAGCGCTTTGGCAAATCTAAGCGTACTCATTATTTTTAAGCACTCGAGAGCGAAATAGTAACAGCAAGCCCACTCAATTTCGCTCTCGTCTATTTTTCTTCTTCTTTTTATTTCGTCAGGCGTGTGGCTTTAGACGGTGTTTCTCTTTACGCGCGCGCGAGCTCGCTATATGGTATACGTATATAATATATTCGAGTAACACAGGCGCTTCTGTCACAAACAAAAATGATCTCAAAGAAGAACAAGCTGAAAGGTGATACGAGCGTGCACGCGAATGCAGAGATAGAGAGGCGGATAGAGAGAAAGGAAAGAAAAACCGTAGATATATGGCCGATTCTCTGCGAAATCGAACGATTCGAGCAACACTTTTTTTTGCACTCACGAAAAACTTGTTGGTTTTGATGTCATATACGTGGCCCTGAATTTTATTAGAAATTTCTAAATCGTCCATCATCCGAACTGTCATTTTAGTCAAATTTGTGCTAATTGATGATTTTGAAAAGATTCCTAGCAAGAAAAAAGTACTCTAAAAGAGTCTGAGCACTTTAGATGCCTGCTACACTTTTGTGTTATGTCTTTGACTCTAACAGTAAAGAAACAATGTGAGAATAACAAATAAATCAAAAAATTTGGGGGAAAAATCTTATAAAACGGGCTATTTTATGTTATTTTCCGTTTTTAAGCCCTTTTTCGGCGTTTTATCAAGCTTTTTGAAACGTATGATTTGTATGTAGCCGTAAGACACAATGACACGTTACAAAAATTTTAAATATTTTCTTGAACAAGTAGCTACACGCTAAACCCAAAAGAGTAATTTTCGAACCTCAAAAGAGTAATCTGCGCGAATTACTCTTTTAAAAAGAGTAATCTAACGCAGATTACTCCTTTCACTTTCACGCTAGAACTAAAAAGAGTAATCTACGCACGTTACTCTTTTTTGAAAAATGCCGAGTGGGCAATTACTCTTTTTGGTAAAGATTACTTCGCGCATAAGAATATTGCGCGCAGATTACGGTCTTTGAATATTAAAGAATATTTTTTATTGTATATTGATTCACGTAGCCAGTGAATGAAAGGTTTCAAAAAAGTTTGCTTAAATTTAGCTTTAATCAATTCGTTTTTAACATATTAAAGGCTATTATTCAGATGGATTATAATAGTAAATGTCTTTCTTTATCGAATAGAAGTTTTGCAGAATGTTTTACTTTCGACTTTCTTTAATAAAATAAGGGAAGAAAAATACACGATGCACCAGTCAATGAAGCTTTTTTACCTTTTTTTAGTAATCTGCGTTAGATTACTCTTTTTAAAAGAGTGATTCGCGCAGATTACTCTTTTTAGTTCTAGCGTGAAAGTGAAAGGAGTAATCTGCGTTAGATTACTCTTTTTAAAAGAGTAATTGGCGCAGATTACTCTTTTTAGTTCTACGGTGAAAGTGAAAGGAGTAATCTGCGTTAGATTACTCTTTTTAAAAGAGTAATTTGCGCAGATTACTCTTTTGAGGTTCGAAAATTACTCTTTTGGGTTTAGAGTGTATATACATTTTTCGGTAATAATCGTCCGTATCAATTTGGATTAGATTTAATTGTTTCGAAAAATTTAGACACATTTTTAACCATTTTAAATTCGATAATACCACTTAAGGCTTTTACCACTAGATGGCGAGTATCTGTATTTTTAATATCTACAAGTGGCACAGGTAAAATAATTGTTTAAATCCAAGACGGAATTAAATTTGTTATATATATTCCTTTTAATTTGATGACATCATGAATAACATATTTTTCATGCCTGAAGGAAAATGATTTTGCGTTCAAGCTATTCGATTTCGCAGAGAATCGGCCATATACAGAGACCAGTGAGCGAAGAGAAAAAAGTGAAGCGATTCTCAGGAGGAAAGATAGCTATTTCGCGCTGGCTGAAGTGTAGTAGTAGCAGCAGTAGTAGACGCTCGCTACTACTTGCGCTTGCAGTTCTTGCCAGCGTTACTGCGTGTAAGGCGCTCACTCGTTCGACTATAGACATATATATATATAAACCAAGTATATCTTGATGCAGCCAGCCACCAGCAGCATCGGCATCGCTATGCTCGCCATGTAAAACAGCTCGGCTTCTCTCTCTTCTCTAGCCGTAGCTGCGCGCTGCACACGCCACCCTCAAAGTACACTATTACGGGCGCAGCAGCAGCAGCGAGCGAGCGAAGCGTCATCGATTTCGAGAATATCGCCCCCAAAGAACCTTTCGCTCTCATTTTATCCATTTCTTTTTCTTTCGCATTTTGCAACGAGCGAAAGAGACGACGAGAAAGGTAGAGAGAGACACGCATTTGCCCTGGCGCTTATATACTTTGTATATATCCTGTAAAGTAATGCCACACTTGGCGAACATTACGCACAAGCAATAAATTGAGAAATATAGAATCCTTTGGTTACAGGCGTACGCGCGGCAATACATTTCATTATATGGCGCATCGTCTATTTTTACGTATTGATCAGAGGCTTACTTTCAAAATGTGACTTTCGGGCAAAAATCATATTTGATCAATTTTTAACTTATATTCTGAATTATAAACTGCACTGAATCGTGATAATTAGAATTAATCATCGAAATGTGTATTGTCGACAGAAAATTACTGAACAATTGAAATTAGAATTGACGTAAAGATAATCTTATCGGAAGTTTTATTCGTTCTTGCGGCATAAATTTGATAACATGATATATTACGTAAGTCTCCTTGGACACATCGGATAACCATGTCATTAACAAAATAAATACTAATATGTATTTAAGCTACCGCTAGATGGCGCATGGCCGAATTTTCATAAATCAAAAGAGAAGAATCAAAGTTCTTGGAATATATAAAAGTTCTCCAAGTTCTGAGAATTGCCAGTTTTGATCCGTATATCCGTATAGTAATATCCGAGGATATTACAATACATTTATTGATTCTAAAAATGAAACTATTGTTAATTTTTACTAATCTTTGCAATATCCAACAGTTTCATCTAAAACCTCTATTGTTCATGCTCACGCAAACGACGAAACTTAAACAAATTATCCCTTCAAGACGGATCGACGAGAACAGCTACGTATAGCTGATCCCGAGAGCAACGCGACACAAGACTCGGGCAATTACTGTCACGCTGATATTACTGCATATAGCTGCTCATGAGTAAGCACTTTCTATGCTCTGCCTCAATATAGTACAGAGTATTGTTGCCAAATAGCTCGATGATCCCTTTAGTTAACTGCGAGCTGTGCGCACGAATATTATCGTGCTGCATTATTATCGACGAAGACGACCTCAGTTGGAATAAGCACATACATTTACCTGACATATTACAGATTCGTTCGGGATTCTGCCACATATATAGCGCATACGTAAACTGCATCTATCGGCAAAACTTCGACTTGCTCGCGAGCTTTCGACACTCGAGTCTGCTGGCTCTATATATACCATTATATCTTCACAGCACCTCGCACGCCACCAGCCCTCTCGAGTGCTCGCCATACGCCCAAAACAATTAGGTTGACACTATCGTCGGCAAGAAAATATAGAAGCACTTTTAGGAGGTGACGGCAGCGACTGCTTATTAGGGTGTCCGTTATTTCCCGACTTTTTTGTATTGCTTCTCCCCCCACCTAGATGTCTTCTATTTGATAAGACAATGAGAAAGCCGGGTTATAGAGTTCGAAAAAATGATTTTAAGGTGGCCCCCAAGCGGCTTGAAGCTTACATGTATTTTAAATGGGAAAAACTTAAAAATTTGATTCTCAGCGATAAAAATGATGAAAAAATTTGAAAAAATTCAGCAACCCATGTATTTTATGTATTTTTTGACGAGGAATCGATTGGTGACCTTGAATTTGACCTTGAACATAACCTCAAAGCTACAGAGAACCAAAAATCGTTTTTTTCACAGTGACCCCCATTTTTTATTGCAGATTCGAAAAGAGCGGAAAATTTCATGTCTGATTATGTCTTTCGATTTTTTTTCAAGGGTATTCAAAAGGCGCTGCAGATATAGATAAAGCCCTAACTAGTAAAAACTCGAAAATTGCACGCTAAAATTAGGGTTTTATTTGTATCTGTAGCATCTTTATAATGCCCTTGAAAAAAAATCAAAAGACATAATTTGACTTGAAATTTTCCGCTCTTTTCGAATCTGCAATAAAAAGTGGGGGTTACCGCAAAAAAAACGATTTTTCTCAATATTTTGTTCGCTGTAGCTTTGAGGTTATGTTCAAGGTCAAATTCAAGGTCACCAATCGATTCCTCGTCAAAAAATACATAAAATACATGGGTTGCTGAATTTTTTCAAATTTTTTCATCATTTTTATCGCTGAGAATCAAATTTTTAAGTTTTTCCCATTTAAAATACATGTAAGCTTCAAGCCGCTTGGGGGCCACCTTAAAATCATTTTTTCGAACTCTATAACCCGGCTTTCTCATTGTCTTATCAAATAGAAGACATCTAGGTGGGGGGAGAAGCAATACAAAAAAGTCGGGAAATAACGGACACCCTACTGCTTATACACGCAAAATCTTGTGTAGACTTGTTAACCCAGTTGGTCGGATTGGTTGCTCAAAGCATGTCTTTGTCTGACCACCGCTCGACGGTCGTTGCGAAAGCTCGCAAGCTCTCACGACCGCAGTTATTTGCCTCAATGGGAATGCTATAAATATCCTGTCCGAGATCATGTGTGCGGCGAGGTGCTGACGTTAAATGCCACCTTATTATAGGTAGCAAATTTGAGCTAGAGTTTTTTTTTACTATCTGCAGCGGAGACCCGTTTTCGCCTGAATTGGCTTGAATGCATGCTCGTAAGCCATCCGTTAGCGCTCAAATATAACGGAGAACTATGTCGAAAACTCGTGTGTATGTGGATCCGAAAGAGAAAAAAAAAGGACGAGGTTAAAAATTTGATCGAATTTGTCGGCGAATTACGCTGTCAGCTTTTGCAACATGGAAAAAAAATTGAAAAATCACCAGGGCAATAAGTATAACCTACTTGCGAGGGAGAACAAGTGTAACAAACTCGAAGCTTGAATATTGATCCATCTTCATCGAATCAGTTTTCAAGTGGCGGTAGTAGTATATAGCGTCGTTGCGCCTTATAATGCGGAAGTGCAGCGCGATTCGATTTAACTGGCTAAATTTTAAGTGCGATCTGACAATTCGAATATATATTTGAAAAAATAAAGCTAGATGGTTAAATGAAAACTTTAATATTTTTCGTTATTCGTTACATTATACATAAGTATAATACTTGACTTTTTACGTGTCAAAACTCCATAACATTATTATTTGATAAAAGAAACCTTTTTTTCTGACGAGGCCACTCGAGATGATATTTTATCAAAAAAAAAAAGAAAAAATCACGTCGCTATCATGAAGAAATAATGCCATAATAATGAAATTTCTTATTGAATTATTAAAATATCGTAAAACAAATTCAAATTGCAGACACCAAACGACGGCTTTGAATGAATTCTGCAGTGTCTTGATTAAACTGTACTATGAATTTTGCATGAAATGAAAAAAATAGTAGGGGTTTTAGTCGAGCGGGCTTTCACATTATTTAAATTATATATGGCGTTCACGCTTATAAATAGCGGTATGGTGATTCACAATGTGTTGCTTTTTTTGCACTTGAAATATTTTCGCCTCGGTTATTGAATCATTTTACAAAATTACTGCTCGGCAAAGTATAGATCACGTTATGTTCGAGACGAGCTTGCATCCAACAAGTAAACAACAATTTTCATTTGTGCAGAATCTTGCAGCGATTTTAACTCTCTTATCGACGAAGATAATCTCGTCGATAAATAGTATTATACGTGTTTGTCGAAAGCCGAGCTTTTGACGAGGGAGTGAGAGAGAGACAAAGGTGCACACGCAAGATAAATTGAAAGCGCAAACGCACGCAAGCAAGAGAATAGAAATAGCTATATAGTAGCGAGCGATCTTGCTTGAAATAACCGATCAATCACGGTTCCTTCCACAAAGCAAGCTTATCGTCCCTCTCACTCGGCCTGGCACAGGTTTCATACATCAGTGCAGGCATCTAATGTGTATTATATATACGTATATATATAGTCTTAAATATGTTTCAATCGAATATCGAGAGCGCTAGGCAAGAGGCACATTATTCTGCCTCGTGTGCGAGCTTCGTAGCAGAATTATATAATATATCGTGCTCGTATGAGAGATCAACACAAAGATAATAAAATAAGAAATGAGCAGCTCATTAAGTAACACGTACCTTAAGACCAGGAAGGACCGCCGCGGGGTCTGAGGGGCTCCGGGCCGAGGATGCCTGATAGGTGGCACCGTAGCTAAGCTGTGGCTGATAATTGCTTAAGATCTTCTTGTGAGCGCTCGCCTGTGCCCTGTATGCTGAGACAGACAGCTTCATTTCTCCTGCCTACTGCTGCTACTGCCGCTGCTGCTGCTTCCGCTGCTTGTAACGCTGGGCGTTGCTGTTGTTTGTTGTTGAGCTTGTTGTTGATGTTGATGTTCGTGGTGATGATGTTCGTGGCGGTGATGATGATGCTGATGCTGATGCTGATGCTGTTGCTGTTGATGATGCTGTTGCTGATGCTGTTGTTGTTGTTGTTGATGCTGTTGATTTTGTTGTTGTTGTTGTTGCGCTGCTGCCGCTGCAGCCGATGACGGACCTGGAGACACTAGCCGGACCAACTTGGCAGGCCCACCGCAGAGCTGCCAGCGCTGAGCATTCGGTCCAGCCGAGCGCCACCGCGGCCAGTCGAGCGGGGCCCGTTCCGGCCTGTGCGGCATAGCCCAGCCGCGAAAACGATCAAAGCCCGACTCGGCCTAAGATTTTTTTTTATTTATTACGCAAAATACCGAACTCCGCACACACACACACTGATCGGCACCGGTATAATTTTGTTACGCACACGCGATGTTGAAATTCGAAGAAAAGAAAAACACTTGTATTTCACGCGCGCACTCACACCCCCGCACTATCACACTAGTCGTCACGGAGCACTGACGCGAATAACACTGAAGCAGGCGCCGCCGCTGCTACTGCCGCTGCTGCTGCTGCTGCTGCTGCTGCTGGCGTCGTTGTTTCTGATGCTGATTCCGCTGATACCGCTTGATACTGGCGTTGCTTTGGAAGCTACTGCGGCCGCTATTGCTGCTGGCCTTTATCATCCCCTGCGGAGAGAGAGAAAGACGAGACGTACAGCGCGGAGTATAAGAAAGAAGAGGCTTTACGCGCGCGCAGCAGATGGGCGGACGGACGCGCGCCACGCTCGCTTTCCTCCGGCGCGAGAGAGAGAGAGAGAGAGAGAGAGAGATTAATTTATTCTGGCACGTTGTGTGTTGTGTTCCCTGTGTGTATATAGGTACGGACTTTGTAGGTCAGCGCGAACGGTGGAATCGGGCGCTGCTGCTGCTGCTGTAGATGCACTTCACTATGCTACTCCACAGCTCAGTGCAGCGGTCGCGTTATATAGACTGCTAGTTAATGCCGGTGGTGGTGGTGCGCCCCATTGTTGCGTTCGAGCTGGTGGACATTGCGATTGTGTCTCGCGTAATATTACCGATCGATCGATTCTTGGCCGACTTCTTCTTTTTTGTCATCTTTTCGCTCGATGCGTCTCGAGCTTTGAAAAAATAAAAAAGATCCAAAGCTTCGCGTCGATGATTCGAACGCGTGACAGCTGCCCTCGCAGCGTGGAAAGAACGTATACGGAGAGATACGCTGTCGGATGACACACGCGCGCGTAGACACAAATTCTGCTGCTGGCACACACGCACGCCCACGCTTTGAGTCAATTTTCTTCCGCCAAGACGACGTCGACGACGACTACTACCACGACTACTACAATCGACCGGTCAATCCCTTACCCCCGGGCCAACGAACTTACATTGCGCTCAGCTTTCGCTCTTTGGCTCTCTCCTTCTTCTTCTTCTTCTTCTTCTTTATGATTGCGATGTGCTACTGCTACTGCTGCCTCCGACTCTGTACGCTGCAGGCTGTTGATAACGTCTCCTCTGTTTTTCTTGCTACGACGGCGGCGACGGCAGCACCACTTCCATCAGAAACTGCAATAAACGACAAATATAAAAAATCCTGTGTACTCTCGCTTGGCACTGCCTTTTAACTTTTTATTCATTACTTTATATAAATTTCAAAAAAAATTATTCGAGCATTCTACTTCCCCTTTCTCGCCAAGCATACACATCCTATTAGAAATAAAAAAAAAAGAAGAAATGACTGCAATTTTTTCTTCGCAAGGACAAAATTCTTTTTATAAATACACGAATGTTTCTGATAAACGTTGCAAATGAAAGTGCACGCGAGAAAAAAAATCGAAACAAAAGTATAGGTGTAACGGGAGCCAGAGCTCTGGCAGTAATACGAATTGAGCGTGTTTAATTTTCATCCACCGCAGCGGGTACCGTCATCGCGCGCTCGTATATAAACGAAAAAAAGGTTAAAAATGAAAAAAAGTATATGTGAAGGGAGGAAACTAAAAATTATAATATACATTCGCCAAAGGCGAGATATTAGAAAATTCACCCCAGACACACTCACAAGATGCTCATTGCACACACACGCACACACTTTTATATCGATAGCGAGCTCGAACATCTGCTGTAAATTATTTTTTCGAACGCGCTTCGAAGAGGGATCGTATATATATGTAAGCAATAAGTTCCAGGCCATGAGGCGAGGAGTCGCGGGCTGACTCTACATCTAGTGCGTCACGCCTCCTTCCACTTGCTCACGGTTTTTTAGAGAACCTTATCATATGAGTAATTTAATACAATTATTTAACTCCAAGTATAGTAAAGTATAGTATCTACAACATGCAGTAGCTACAAATCGTATTTTAACTTATACAATTATTTCGAATTTGCCACTTGCAGATTCACAGTATACGTCCTCGCCACCTAGTGGTGGATGCTCAAAGTTTGCATTTTCAGATCATTCAAAAGTCGTAATATTTGTAACACAATTGTTATAAAAAATCGCAAAAATCAGCCGATTAATTTCAAAACATTTTAAAAGGCCAATTTTTGATCATTAAGGAGGCTGTAGCGAAAATGAAAAAAACTTTAGATCGAAGTGAAATTTTAACCAATGATAGTTTATAAAATTACAAGATTTTTGGTAAAAAAATAATTTGGGGTTTCCATGCAAACTTGGGAAATAATGAAATTCAAAGTTTTAGCCATTTAACATTGAATCAAATGCGAAGTGGCAGTTTTTAATGTACTGTGAGCTCATATCACTTTACAAGTTGATGAAATTAATATATGTTATAGGAAATTTCATTAACTTTCGAATGATATGATTATAAATGGGCGTTTCCAGGCAAATAAAAAAGATATTAAGAGTCCAAAACTTTTTCCCTATGTTCTGCCATGCTAACGCTGTGCGCTGTGTAACGCATATAGCCTTGCGCATGTAGCGCTTTAATACAGAACCACCTTGCATCGCTACAGCCTGCTTAAGCTATTATTTAATTTGACAATTTTCAACAAGTGTACTTAATCTTATTTTAATGTATAAAGCTGCGAATAAAACAATATTTGATTTAAAATCGTAACTTGTAGAAAAAAATTTTTTTCAATGATGAACGCAAAATAAGTTTTTCGGGCTTTAACTTCGTCTCAATCGATAAGAAATATAAACACTTATCGAGCATACAATCTTTCTTGCAATCATGTTATTTCTCATGGTTTTAAAACTCGTTTTTTAGCCTATCACAGAGCTATTTCTGAAAGGAAGCTAAAACGCGAGGCCAAAACGCCTCTTCTCGCGACATTGGACGCGACAAATTTCTTTAACAGCTTTGCGACTTTTTACGTTATTTTAGATTCTCTAAGACTTAAGGTGCGCTATACACAAACACCCACACACAGATTTATAGTGCGTTGCAGGTCTCACAGCACTATTCTTCCCCGACTATATGCGTTTACGGACGTGCGCATGTAAGCGAACATAAAATATTTTAGATTTACAGGATTCAAGCATGCCAGAGGGTAAAAGCGGTATAACAGAGAGACTAAAACCTCTCGCCTTCTTTTCTCGGAGCGAGATTCGATGAGAAGTATATAGCGACTAGGCAAACTCCATCAAAAGCTGTGCAGTGCAGTACTCGATTCGTTCGAGATGATTAGTCGGTGACGCGACCCGCGCGCGCGCAGATAATTTAATTTGCGCCGTGCCAGAAAGAGATCGATTTATAACTAGACGAATTAACTTTCGATTCTCCGGCTTTAGTATACAACTTGTATATCATTTATATTGGTCACACCGTATGCTTTCCTTGCAGATCTCGTCTTCCATTACATTAATTAATGGCTATTCGATTAAAAACAACCCTCGATTTTCACGTCGTAGCGACGATTTGATTGTAATCGATAATGATTATCTGCTTGTAATTTTAATAAATTGTCTTTTCATGGTAATAAAATAGTCGATCAATTTGCTGTGCCGAATGATAAAACTCGACAATAAATTATGGTTAGGTGACTCGTTAAAGGTAATATAAATATTTGTTTTGTTAAAAACGATATGGCAAAAAATTACAGTATTCAAAGTAATACGTTTTTTTAACATAACTCTAAGTAGTGTAAACGCAATTTTCAAGAATATAGAAATTAATTCAAAGCACGTGAGGATCAGCACTAATAATATCTCTTCTTTTTTATTTTCTATTTTATTTTATTTTACTTCATTTTGTTACATAAAAAAATTAAGCCGTTTGGTCGAGTTACTTTAGACTCAAGCCGAAATGAGATACAGCAACATTTAAGGTCAAAACCTCATTTTTCTAAGTAGAACTAAAAAATTATTATTACTTTTAAGGAAGAATTGAAGTCAAAACTGTGTTGATATTTGATTGTATGTATGAAAGGATAGGTAAAAGTTTTTTAACATTCACGATAAAATGAATAACAGTTTAAAATATTTTATTGTTCTTCAGAAGGAAATTCATATGAAAGATTTTCCAAAATTGCAAAGCGAAAACATGAAAAAGGAGAAGTCCTTATTGAGCCTAAATGTCTCGAGACGAATTTCATGCTCCTAGGATTTTCTCCGATCGTGTATCACATTCATGTGAACATTGAGGTGACCTTTGTGTCCAAATAATTTATGGCAAATGCCTCATTCGAGGGGTTTTATACAATCATATACTCAATTCACATGACGCTTGAGGCCACATTTTTTTTCCAAATGATTTGTGGCAAATCTCACATTCAAAGGGTTTGCTACGATCGTGTATTGCATTTACGTGAATTTTAAGGTGACTTTTTCGTCCAAATGATTTGGGACAAATCTCACATTGAAAGGATTTGCTCTGATTATGTACTGCATTTATATGAGTTTTGAGATTGCCTCTGAGTCCAAATGATTTGTGACAAATGTCACATCCATAGGGCTTGCTGCAATTATGCACTAAATTTACGTGACATTTGAGGTGTGGTTTTTGTCCAAATGATTTGAGACAAATCTCACATTAAAAAGGTTTTCTATGATCATGTACTGTATTTAAGTGCGTTTTGAGATAACCTCATTCTCTAAATGATTTGTGACATATCTCACATTCGTGGGATTTGCTCCGAATATGTTCTTTGTTTACGTGATGTTCGAGATAGCATTTGTAGTCAAATAATTTATGACAGGTTTAGCATTCATATGGTTTAATGCTTTTATAAGCCGTGCTGATATGTCTTTCTCGATTCACTTCTTCTTTGTGAATTTTACTTTCTATCTTCGGAATTGGTGAATAACTTTGATATTCACTTTTGCAGATGGTTGTTGTTATAGGCTTGAGTTCAGATTTTACATACTTGCACTCAAAATCAATAAATATTTTTTCATCAACGTCATTGATTTGATTTTTGTTTTCTATATTTTCACAGTAGGTAGACAACTTTGGTACTCAGACTTGCAGGTAGTTTTCGATAGAGCCTGCAGTTCAGGCTTAACATTACTGCACTCAAAGTCTACGAATATTTTTTCAGACAACTTTTCGGATAATGCAATAAACTGATGCATGTAATTTGCCTAAAATTAAAATTGTGTAATAGTTCTTATTGGGAAAAATGAACATAACTCAAATTTTTACACTCACTGGTGATTTATGTAATGCGAATGTTGCAAAGTTTTTAGTTTCGTAAGAGTCGACCGAATCATCACCAGCATCGTCTGACCGCGTATCATTCGATTTTTTCTTTGCCCTGAATAGAAGAATAATTAAGTTTAATCTTACGATAGATTCAATTAATGTCATGGCATTCCCGAAAAATCTTTACCTAACTGTGTCCTCTTTGGTTTCCATTACTCGCTTGATTATATGTAATCACAATAAATTTTCACGATATACACGAAGAGAAGAAGATATTTGTAGTTATACGTGACGAGTTATGTGTGCTCGAGTCGTAAACTCGGTATTTCGATTTTGCCAATTTGTAAACACTTGCTCACCGGATAATTCGATTCTTCCCAAAGCGATTGTGCTTACGCAAAACTCGTATATGAGCGAGGTGACCCTGAGTTTCTCGGTGTTACTTTCCCCCTCTGTTGCCCACTTGCCATACGAAATCATGAAAGTACACCGAGCTGATAATAGAAATATTTAGATGATTGCGGGTACTTCTTTTTTTCGACGCTTCACCACCTGGCGGTTGGACTTAAAGCTCCGAAAATAGAAGTAGTGAAAGGACGAATGATAAGTCGAATTTTTCGTTTGACTGAGTTCACCATATTTAGGGTATCGTTCGATTCAAGTCCGGGAGACGAATGTGCAGTGCATGAATTTCCTCAAACTGCCTACAACTGTTTTTTTTTTCATTTTTACTCTCAAAAAAGTGATGGATTGATTGTGTCATCGAAACTCACGTGTTTGGTGTTGTGATTGGTCGTCGGATTTTGGCAGATGGCGGTATCGCTTTTAGGGTGACATTTTATATTCCTGATAATGTTATCGGGGACAGCTACGGCTTGTGTGCGCTTACACCGCCCTTAAAGGTGCTAATGAATTTAAAAATAATGCAAAAAAAAGATGTTCTCGCTACGCTTCCTAATG